CAGATGTTTGCCCTGTTGTACTGTGGTAGTGAGGGCTTACACTGTTGAGATGGGTCCCCACAAGTCTATACAGGGGTGTATGGCACTCAGAGTCTGCGGACCCCTGATTTCTGTGGCCAGCAAAGGAGTTGTGCCGACCCTGTGTTCCTGGCCTAGGGGAGCCAGCAGCTTATTTGTTCCCTCTCCAAGGCCAGGAGAATGGGTCAGGGCTCCTTTTGGGATCTATTTCCGGCCCTGTGGACTCCCAGTGCAGAGCGGGGAGGGAAGCGATAAAAGGAAGAAAGGTTTTTACCAAATCCGGTGGAGAGCACGGAGATAGGAGGTAAAAGGGAGAGAGGTTTTTCCCAAATCCAGTGCAGAGTGCAGAGGTAAATGGGACAGAGGTTTTTCCCAAATGGGCTTTTTTTTTTTTTTTTTTTTAAACTCACCGCGAAAGGGTGCGCACTTGTACTTATCCTAGCCTTTTGGGAACTGCTCTTCACTGGTTCGGAGTGTCCAAGCAGAATCTCTGCTGCCGGGTCTCTCTTGATGTGGAAACTGCTTCTCGAGCGTGCGCACAGCACAGCTGTTTGCCTGCTTCACCGTGTCCTGGCATGGCTGTGTCTCTGCTGTGTCACCGCCGCAGCTCTAGCGCTCCTCACCTCTTCCACAGTCTTCCTCTCCGGTATGACTCAGATGGGTTTCTTAACCTTGTCTTGTTCAGGGCTGCCAGATGTTCACATAGAATCAAATCGCTTGTTTTTCCAGGTCTTTGTTGTAAGAGGGATATAGGAAGCGTCTAACTAGTCCACCATGTTGACCACGCCCCTGAATGAAATATTTTGTAGTCACTAAAAAGAATGAGAGGAATTTATTGATGTCTAATACATGAAACTTTTAAAATACTTGATCAGTGTATATAGTATGATTTCCCTTCTGTTATAAACAAAAGATAGTAGAGATATATTTATTTACTTAAAACAAATCTGGATAAGAATATATGAAATTTACTATGTCTTTGGGAAAGGGGTGGGATTATGGAGGACTTTTACTGCTTGCTTGACTGATTATAATGATCAGTCTTTTTAAACGTTTATTACTTTTGTGATCAATAAAAAGGTTTTAGTTAAAAACAAAAAATTCAAAGTTAAATGTCTTTTTTACTTTCTTTGAGAGTTAATGCTTTTTTAAAAAGACTTGGAGGAAAGATCAGAGGATATTTGTTTCACTGCCTTGAAATAATTTCCTGCATGCTCAGTTCTCTATCTCCTGCAGTCTAGTGATTCCCAGACATTTCAAGCCTGAAAATGACGTGGTAAATATAGCTTATTAGACTCTTATATGACTGTGGCTTTAATGAATCATGGCTAATTTTTTTAAATTTGGGGGTTTGGTCCTACCTGTAGATATTATGATTCAGTGGTGTAGGATGGGACCCATGAATCCATTTTAAATAGTGTCCCTGAGTGATTAAGTGATTCTGACACAATCAAACCATAGTCGAGGACCATTGCTATAACTAGCCTTCAAGCATTTTATTAGTGTGACTTGTTATCTCAGAGTTCCTGGGTGATACAAACAGTTAAAGTGTCCAGCTGTGCACTGAAAAGTTGGAGGTTTGAGTCCAACCAGAGGTGCCTCGGAAGAAAGACCTGGTGAACTACTCCTGAAAAATCAGCACTTGAAAACCCTGTGGAGCTTGACACATATGGGGTCACCATGATCTAGAGTCAACTCAATGCCAACTAGTTACAGATACTTTCGTGAATATGCTTATGATTCTAAAACCAGTTATAATTTCTGCCTAGAGTCCGTCACATGTAAGATATACAAACTAATAGTCATTCCTTCAAGAAATATTTATTGTCACTCAATGTGCCAGCTGCTGCTGCTATAGGATAGAGTAGGGAACAAAAAAGGACAAGTCTTCAAGTAGCTTTTGTTTCAAAGAATGAACCAGACAATAAAATTCATGGTGTGTTATAGTGATACATGCTAAGGGGAAATGTATAGCAGGGAAGGGGGCATATGAAATGTCTAGGGTGGGTTTGAAATTTTAGATAAAATGGCAGTGGAAGAGCTCACTGAGAAGGTGACTGTTGACCTTCTGTAAAGATGTGAAAGAAGTAAGGGAGCTAACCGTGCAGATATCTTGAGGGGGAAGGGGTTCTAGGCAGAAGGCTCAGAAAATAGAAGGGCCCCGAGGCAGGAGCATTCCTAGCTTACTCAGTGAACAGCAAGGAGATGTATATAGCTGGATAAAGATAATGAGGGGAAGAGTAGTAGGCAATGAGGTAAAAAATAAAAAGGTAATGAAGGCCAGATCATGTAGAGCAAAGTAAGGTTTTATTTTTCTGAATAAGATTAGAGGGTTTGAACAGAGGAGTAGCCTGCTCTGACATACTTTTCATGGATCACTGTTTGATTTATTGAAAACACAGGGGCAAGGGTAGAAGCAAGAATACAAGCTGCAGTTCAGGCAAGAAAAGATGACGACTTAGACCAGGATGGTGGCAGCTTGTGTGCTGATACATGATCAAATGCAGATATATTTTGGAGATAGAACTTTCAGGATATACTGATGGACACAATGTGGGATGTGAGAGAAGGATGAATCAAGGATGATACCTAGATTTTTGGCCTGAGTGCCTGTTATTAACTGAGGTGGGAGAAAACACATGAAGATCTGGTTTGGGAGTGAGTATCATGAACTCAGTTTTGGTTATGTTAAGTTTGGAATGACTTTTAGATACCTAAGTGAATATGTCAGGTAAGCAGTTGGATATATGAGTCTGGAGTTCAGATTAGAGGTCCAGGCTAGATGTACTAGTTTGGGTGCCGTCACCGTATAGATGATATTTAAAGCCATGAGACTGGATGGGATCATCAAGGGAATGATTTTATATAAAGAGGTTCAAGCAGTACATTTTCAGACATCCAACATTTAGAACATTTCTTAACCTCAGCATGATTGACATTTTTGGGTCAGATAATTCTTTGTTGTAGGGGACTATCCTGCACATTATGACTATCCTGCACATTATAGGATGTTTAGTAGCATCCCTGGCTTCTACCCACCAGATAGCAGTAGTGCTCTGCTCCCCTAGTTGTGACAACCCAGAATTTCTCCCACCATTACCAAATGTCCCAGGGTGGGAGGGGGCCAAAACTGCCCCGGTTTAAGAACTACAGTTTAGATGTTAAGGAAATAGCAAAATAAACAGAAAGGAGAAATTCGCCACAAAAGTAGAAGGAAAACTAGGCAATCGTAGTAGTCGAAGTATGAATTCATGATTTTTTTTTTCCCCTCATGATATGTTTTAGCATTAAAAATTTTAATATTTTCTATCTCAGTTCACTGAAAAGACCAAAACAAGGAGGAATGACCAGACTGCCATCTGTAAATACCATTTCTCTCTAAAGGAACCAGTGCTACTTAAGAAATAACTACTTGGAAATCGGAGGCAGAAAATGTGTCTGGATTATCTTTTCACACCATAAGTCAAGGAAGTTATTAAAAACTGTTGGGATTGTGTCAGACTCAGGAGCCAAATTAAAGAAGCTTCACTGGCTGAAGATAAACAATTTGAGAATCAATAATAATAATTACTGCAAATGTATTTAAATTCATGAGTTATAATGATATCATGTTCAAATTTATCTTTTTTTCCCCTTGTATGGGTACCAAACAGTTGAAGAAATTTTTCTTTAAAAGAAATATTTAATTTGTTATGAAGAACATCTGGATAAGTGACGAAACTTGAATAAAATTTGTAGACTTTATAATGGTATCCATGTGAATTTCTGGATTTTAATAATTGTACTGTGGTTATGTAAGAGAATGTTTTTAGAGAATTCACACTGCTGAACTATTTAGGGTAAAGGGCTACAGATTGGCAACTTTCAGACTGTTAAGAAAAATATATGTGTGTATGTATTTTATTTATATACACACACACATTATAGACAGGATGATAAAGCAAATATGAAATGTTCACAGTTGGAATATGTAAGAGAATGTCCATGTTTTTAGAGAGGGGAGAATTTCTAGAATAATCCTTCTAGAGAAGACGGGAATGGAATCTAATACACAGGCAGTTTTGGGAGTAAGGATAGTTCCTCTATACTAACAAAAGTAGAGGTGGAATATATGGGCACACATGTGAGTAGGAAGGTGGATAGATGTAGTGGGAGCTTGTGGAAATTCTCTTCCATTACTTTGATTGTAGGAAGCAGGGTTTGTCAGCTGATGTTTAGATCTGTTTAATTAGAACATTCATATATATAGAATACCTACGTGCCAGGTAGGCACTAGGAATACCAAGATAAATAAGATAGTCTTACACTTGGAAGAGCTCACAATTTGAAATACATTGTTAATTATAATACATCCCAAAATGCTCTGTAAAAGAAGTGTTAAAGTATTATGTATCAAGAGGCTTTAAAATACGTAAGTCTTTTGACTCACTTGTTCTACTTACAAAACTCCAGGAAATCCAATCTAAGGAAGTGATCCACAGTACACAAAATATTAGGCACGAAGATGTTTATAACAACATTTTTCATAGTGTAAAATTTGAAAACAGTATATGTTTCTGACAGTTTGGAAATGGTTATATAATTTATGTACATAATTTATTGCATAGTTTATAATTTTGCTACTATACAAATTATACAGACATGAAAATTATTTTACATAAAGCTTTGAATCAGAAGGGTAAATGCTTATGATCCAATATTAAAGGGAGGAAACGGGCTATTAAAATTTTTTTAATAAAAAAAAAGATGAGCTCAGCCAAGTCAAAGCTGATCAGTAAAAAATACCTTTTAAAAAAACTGTTTATTGAAGTATAACAACAGAAAAGAGCACAGTTTAATTGTGCTGCAGGTTAATGAATTTTTAAACTAGATTTGCGTCTGTAATCACCACCAATATCAAGAAAAATTATTTTCAGAACTTTGTTCATAGTTTTTATAATATGTTTCAAAAAATATAATTTATTTATATTCTTTTTCTACAGGCAAGTATCAATTGAGGAGGGAGAGAGGAAAGCCAAAGAGCTGAATGTTATGTTTATTGAAACTAGTGCAAAAGCAGGATATAATGTAAAACAGGTAAGTGTGCTTTGAGTATGGGTTGAGGTTATCAAATTTTAACACATACTGTGAAATAACAGTACATGTATTCTGTAGTCTAAGGTTTTAGCCTCATGAGCTAGCATCTATTTTCAAACAGTGAAAAAATACAAATGTAGCATAGTTTTTGGAAAAAAAGAAGAGGCTTGCCAAATTTTTGGATTATGCACAGGATAACTGTTTCATTGTGATTGCAAGGTTGTGAATTCACCATACTTTCACTCCATTCCTACTGCATTGGTTAAAAGGTAGTTTTTCCTTATTTCACACTTATATATAAGACTGTGATGAAAGAAAGCAAGTTATTTACTGTCAGGAATGGTGCTTTGTTTTGTTGTGAAAGTACATTCACCACTTTTACCGGTTCTTAATAAATTGCTGGTGGTTCAGCAGTGTTTATAGAGGAATATTTTTTTGAGGAGCAGGGATAGGAAAATACAGGAAGAATCCCACATTATTGAGCTGTTTTATACAAGATTTGGTAGCAAAAAACTCACCTGTATGATTCTTCATCTGTTGATGGGCCTTTAGGTTGTTTCCACCTTTAGGCTGTTTCCACCTTTAGGCTATTGTGAACCCAGGTATTTTTTAGTAAAGCACTAAAGTCTCATCCCCACTCTAAACCATTTGAATCAGTCTTTGGGGATGGTGCTGAAAATCTGTTTTTAAACTTCTCAGGTAATTCTGATAACACTGTGAGTATTGAGTATCACTGGTCAAGAGGGAAGGGCTTCACAACTTTTCCAGAAAGCTTTTCTGAAGTATTTCCTTCTAATTAGTTTCAAAGGTAAAAATAAGAAAAACAAAATAAAAATGTTTGTGAAGTCACAACTTGTTTACTCTTCTGTGTCTGTCTAATATCTTTAACTTTGTAGATGATGGAGGCTTGTCAGTTTCCTTGTATGCATTTTTCTCTGACTAATGGATCTACCAGTTAATCTTTGGTCTTCTAATTGTTATTGCAGTTCCAGTCTCTCACCTCTGGCCGTCTGTTCATTCTGTTCCTTCTCAATTTAATTTAGCAACATTTATGGAACATTTAAACTCAGCACTTTGCACATTTTTCAGCCACATGAAATTCTAAGACTGCTTTAAATCAACTCAACTGACACCTGCTAGAGATTTTTCCCAGCCTCCTGAGAGGGTCTTTTTGCATCTATATTCTCATATCATTTTGTACATCCTTGGTTTATAGCACTCATCACATTGTGACATAGGGGATTGTTTGAGTCTGTGTCCTTTGCCAAATCGTGAGCTCTATGAATTCAGTAACTACATCTTGTTCATTACTCGGTCCATAGAGAACCTGAGACAGTGCCTCAATTAAGCAGGTACTTAGTACAAGGGCGTTAACATCACATGTGCGTTTAACTGCTACACTGTGTGCCTAACAAAAACAGAAATAATTGAAAAAATTAGGCAACTTCACCTGCCATTCTTGTGCCTAGGATCAGACAAGATAGGAGGTATATTTTTCCTTCTGTTGATTTCCTTTCCCACATGCCTCTCATAGTGAACATCTTACCAGACTTGAGGTGATCTTCCTGTTGGAGATATTTTTCATTACATCATACCTCAAACACAAGCCAGCCACTTCCACTGGCACTCATTCCAGTGATAGAGGAAAAGCCAGCTTGTGTTGGACTTGAAAGGTGGTGTGTTAATCTCTAACATAGTGCTTTCCTAAGGAATTGTCAAGGGTAATTTTGACCAAATTGACTTTTATTATATATAGTGACTTTAGAACCTAACCACTTATGAAAGATAGGAATGTCTCTCTACAGTTTTACTAAATGAATATCTGTCCTTACTCCGAGTTCCTGTAATATTTTATTTTTATTACTCAAATAACATTTTTGCTGCTTATTTCATAGCTGTTTCTTATCTCACTAGTTGGAAAGCAGGGATAATGTCTTCATACTCTTTGTATGTAGCATACTGCTTTTCATATAATTGATTTATAGAGTGAGTAGACATTTTAATATGCTCATGATGCTAAAGTCTAAGTTACAAAAAACCTAGGAAAGCCATATCCTTTAATTCATCCAATGATCATCCACCTTTACTTGATACCACTTGCTAAATTTTCCTTCCCAATTACCATATTTCTCTCTTTGCCATAGCTCTTCCGACGTGTTGCAGCAGCGTTGCCTGGAATGGAAAGCACACAGGACAGAAGCAGAGAAGACAGTATCCTTTTTGTTTCTTCAGAAAATTCTATGGTTAATACTTGTCTTTAGAGCCCCTGTTGGCAAAGGAATATTGTGCTGTTTCCTTTTACAGCCAGAAGTTGATGCCGTTAAAAGTAATGAAGGCTTTGAAAACATAAAACAATGTGTTTTCAAAGCCTTTATTACTTTTAATGGCATATAGTGTTCTACTGAATCAAAGTCCCATGCTTTATTAGATTCTCCCTTTGTTGTTGGAATTCTCTTCAAGGCTGTTTTCAGATTTTTATTATAGATAATTCAGTAAGGAATGGTATCTCCATGTGGTTTCTTGTGCTGTATAATAATTTCCTTAGGACAGATTCTGATGAGTAGGGCTTGAACCTCATTCCAACCCTTCCTGCATGTGGTAGGTATAAGCAAGTTTATTCCATATCCTCATATCGTGAGGTAGCTATATAGAAAATAGTGACTGGGTAACTCTGAAGTCAAATAGGAATGTAAGGGGCTTACCAGAGAAGTCCGTGTTCAGCAGAATTGTAATTCCCCGTTTATGAGTCCTTAACTTTTGTTTCAGTGATTGACATAAAACTGGAAAAGCCTCAGGAGCAGCCAGTCAGTGAAGGAGGCTGTTCCTGCTAATCCCCCCAGCATCTTCAGCTCTTCACCAGAAGCTTACTGCTTTGGCCCCCTTACTCTTCCATTGACTGCAGTGTGAATATTGGCTTGAACCTTTTCCCTTCAGTAATAACGTATTGCAATTCATCATTGCTGCCTGTCTCGTGGAGATGATCTGTTAGCTTCACAAGCACAAAAAAAAGTCAGTGTCTTCATTATTTATGTTTTACAAAAAGCCAAAAGATTTCAGCATATTCCAGTAATAACTTTAAAAATTAGATACATTTTCTTAACATTTTTTTCCTTTTTTAATGTTATGATAATGTACTTCAAAATGATGAAAATGTCAATATTACAAGTGTGGCTTGGTTAAGGAGTAGTATGTTCAAAGCAGCACTTGCCTACCTGCTTGATCTTTTCCTTCTTTTCTCACCTCTCCCATTCTCTATTCTCACCCTCCCTTCCTCAAAACGAAGTGGCAAAGCAGCAGTAAGACCAAGCCCATTGGAATTACCTTTAGGCCTTTTGGGCAAAAGTGTCCAAAATAATTCTTGAGCTCTGATATAAATTACTTAGACCTTCTTTGAGGTCAGAATTCAGCTATCATGGTGGGCAGTGCTTGAATAAGAAAAGAGTTCTGATGCATCTTCAAAGTGAGTCCTAATGAACATACCGAGTACTTACAAGTAGAGGAGCATGAAATGTATTTATGACCAAAACAAATGACCCTTTCACATGTGCTTTATTAGATTCTGGGAGAGAGACGTGAACAAATGCTTTAGTATAGATTTTTAATATTTAATTCTTTATTGTAAAAATCACAAAGTTCTGGTGAATTATTTCTCCCAAGATTTTTCAATTGTCAACTTAGAGTTATTCTATTTGTTAGAAAAACCTTTTAAAGCAATAGATTTCTCTTGAGTTTTCTTTTCTTAAAAATGCTGGGCAGGCAAGGCACTGTTGAAGTCAAATTCCTTTAAAAAGAACCAGTGGAAGAATTTTAATTTGGCACCATGATCAAAACTACTATAACCAATAGAAACAATGATATCTAAAACCTATCGATGAAAGAACCTTCAGCAGCAGAATAGCAGATACTTTACTCAGGATATTTGACGTCAAACTGAAGGAGGAAACGTTTTTTTTTACAAGCCCCTACAGGCAGATTTGAAAAAGCATACACAGAAGAGGAGAAAGAGAATGGAAATAAAATATAATATTATGCAGACTTATGCCTTATTTTCTAGCTTTTTTTTTTTTTTATGTTGGGTTGCTCAGGCTGGTTTTGCCTTTTATTAGATCTGCATAGTTTGGTTAATTAACTAGCGATTTAGTTTTATATTTAAGCTACAATTAATCTTTTTTTTTTTCTTTGATGATATTTATTTCTTTGCTTTTTTTTTAACTACTCTCAATTTTTGGACGTTTTGTTCAATATTTAGAGCTTGATCACCATGGCAATATGTATTTCCCTTAAAACACTGCAAACACATATACTAGGAGTGTACCCTTTTAACCTTTACTAGTTATTGTGAGATTGCTGTGTAAGTTAATAAACACATTTGTAAATACATTGTTTGCAGGAAGAAAATTTCTGAGTTACAGCTCAGGAAAACCCTGCTAAATTTATGTTGTAAGCATTACTTAACACAGTATAAAGGTGAAAAGACAGCAAAAATATCTTCATACTTCCTCATCCCCTCATGGCAACAAAACCCTTTAAGAACCTTATTCTCCTGTCTTTCTTCTTCCTCCTCCACTTCCCACTTACTGTCACCTTGTAATATTCAGAGAGCACTTGGATTATTGATCTGAATAGAGAAATGCTTTCAGATAATCATTAGCCCACATACGAGAAACTTATGCTGAAAGACAAGATGGAGTTGTAAAGTGCTTTTATAATGCAATATTATTGTTGAAGGTAACGGTTGACTCTCTTGTTTTATTTTGACATGGCATGTCCTGAAATAAATATCAATTCAATATGGCAGATGGGTCATATTCTTTATTTGGAAGATGTTGTGATTTCTGACAAGGGGGTGATTGTCTTCCCACACTGTAGCATTTGATTGTTTTTATGTATCTTTAAGAAAGTAGCCAGTTATGCCCTTTTCGTATTGGTCTTTTTATTTGGCTTGGGGTTCTTCAACTGAAGCAGTGAAGTGCATTCATAGTCCAGATTTTTTTTTTTTAAATACAATTTTGCCACCAAAAATATATAAAGAAAACAATAGTTGACTTGGTTTCCCGTTCCTGCCAAGATGGTAAATTAGCATGTACTTCTTGCTCCCTGCCTAGAAGAACTATAAAGGGAAAATGGGATCTAGAAAAACAACAAAAGTGAGAAACCCCTGGGGAGTGAGAAGACAGTTTTCAACTGTTGTGGAGAGGGTGGCTGCAATTTGTAAGATAAGGCTGCTGGTAGAAGCAGTAATAGGGTATGTTAAGAAAAGTAATTTTAATTCTGCTTTTGCCGCCTTGCTCCCAACCCCACCCTTTGCCTTGGGACAGGGGTTGGCAAACTATGGCCCTCCAGTCACAATCAGTCTGCTACCTGTTTTTTAAATCAAGTTTTACAGGAAAACAGCCATACTTTCTCACTACCAAGGCAGAGTTGGGTGGTTGTGATGGACTGATTGGCCCACAAAGCCAAAAATATTTACTGTGTGGCCCTTTACAGAAGAATGGGCTGACCTCTGCTTTGGGACAATCATAGCTGACCCTTCTGCTGTAGAAATGGAGGCCACAGGCCAGGTGCAGGTGACCACAGGGGTAATAACAGGGCAGTGAAAAAGCCCTGATAAGTAAAAGTGGGAAGTTGATGAGAACAGTTGTGGAATAACTTGCCTTAGGCATTTCACTCTCCACCCTTTCCCTTTCAGAGTTAGTGGACTGTAATCTAGGGACACTGGGAGACTGCCTCCTGTAAGAGCTGCTGGGGTTTAAAGGGGTTTAAAGGTAAGGCCCTGACATAAGGTATGGTGGGATGGAGTCCCTGGGTGCGCAAACAGTTAAGCATTGGGCTACTACTGACTGAAAGGTTGGCGGTTCAAACCCACCCAGAGATGCCTCAGAAGAAAGGCTGGCAGTCTGCTTCTGAACGATCACAGCCGTGAAAACCCTATAAAGTCAGAATTGACTCCACAGCAACTGATTGGTTTGGTGGGATGCCCTCGAACACTTAACAGTCTGGTCTTTGACCCTTGCCCAGTATTTCTTACCAGACTATTAGCCTGTACACCCAGTGAAATTTGAACTCACAAGCTAGATTTGTTTGATACCTGAAAACTGCTTCAAAGGAAAAAGTGAATACCATCAGAAGCAGAAATATTTGAAAAGACAACCAAGAATTTAAAGATGGCATGGTAGATATTGAGATAAGGGAAAATATCAGCAATGTGGAACAAGGATAAAAAAATAATAAAATAACCAAATAAAATATTATGTGTGAAAAATGTAATTGAAATAATGAACACGTAGTTGGGCTAAATGGTACAATGAATTCCATTGATTGAATTAGAACATTAAATTAAGGAGCTCGTCCATTAGAAAGCAGAGAAAAAAGATAAGAAAGGTAATATGTGCTAACATCCAGTAGCAATTCCAGAAAGCGAAAAAGCAAGAAGAATTAAAGTGCTGTAAACAAAATTTGAACTTCATATTCCTAAGCATTTTCTGGTGTTTTTAATGCTACTTAAAGGAACTGGTGGCACAGTGGTTAAGAGCTTGACTGCTAACCAAAAGGTCAGCAGTTCGAATCCACCAGCTAGCTGTTCCTTGGAAACCCTATGGGGCAGTTCTCTGTTACAGGGTCGCTATGAGTCAGAATGGACTTGATGGCAATGGGTTTGGTTTTTGGTCTGGTGTCTTGTTTTAGTTTTGTTTTTAACTAAATTTTCCAGTTTGCTTCTGGCATGAAGACATATAACTGCCTGGTACATATTGACTTGAACTTGCTTAACTCATTTATTAGTTCTGGGAGCCCTGGTGGCATAGTGGTTAAGAGCTTCAAATCCACCAGCTGCTCCTTGGAAACCCTATGGGGCAGTTCTGTTCTGTCCTATAGGGTTGCTGTGAGTCGAAGTTGACTCGACAGCACCTAACAACAACAACAGTAGTTTTTAGTTAATTCTTTACAGTTTTTTACATAAGTAATCATGTCATCTGCCTATACAGACAGGTTTATTTCTTCCTTTCCAAATCTTAGCTTTTTATTTCTTTTGTTTGCGTTATTGTACTGGCTGAAGATCTCTAGTATGATGCTGAACAAAAGTGATGAAAGTAGACAACCTTGCCTCGTTCCTAGTCTTAGGGGAAAACATTTAGCATTTCACCAGTAATTATATGTTAGCTGTGTTGTTTTTAAAAACAGTTTTAATGAAATAAAAGTAATATAGCATACAGTTCACCCACTTAAAGCATAGGACTTAATGATTTTTAGTATATTTACAGAGTTGTAAAACCATCACCACAATTTTAGAACATTTTCATCAACCCTAAAAGAAACCCTGTACCCATTAGGAACCACTCCCCATTCTACCTCAGCCCCCACCCCAGCCCTAAGCTAATTTACTTTCTGTCACTGGATTTGCCTATTCTGGACATTTCATACAAATGTGATAATACGTGGTTTTTTGTGTCTGGCTTCTTTCACTTAGCATATTTTCAAGGTTCATCCATGTGTAGCATGTATCAGTACTTCATTCCTTTTTATTGTATGGATATATGCTACATTTTATCTACCAGTTGATGGACATTTGAGTTGTTTCCACTTTTGGCTATTTATGAACAATGCTGCTATGAACATTTGTATACATGTTTTTGTGCAGACATAGGTTTTTATTTCTGTTGGGTATCTACCTAGGAGTGGAATTGCTGGGTCATATGCTAACTCTGTTCTGTTTTTATAATAGACTTTATTTTAGAACTGATTTAAATTTACAGAAAAATTGAGAACATAGTACAGAGAGTTCTCAAATACCCCAAACCCAGTTTCCCCATTATTACCATCTTACAGTAAGATGGTATTTTTGTTAAAATTAACAAACCAACATCGATACATTATTATTAACTAAAACAAAAAAAAACTAAACCCGTTGCTGTCTAGTTGATTCCAACTCATAGCGACCTTATAGGACAGAGTAGAACTCCCCCATAGGGTTTCCAAGGAGCAGCTGGTGAATTTGACTTTTTGGTTAGCAGCTGAGCTCTTAACCACTGCGCCATTATTAACCAAAGTCCATACTTTATTCAGATGTTCTTAGTTTTTACATAATGTCTTTTTTCTGTTCCAGATACCATCCAGGATACCACATTACATTTATTCATGTCTCCTTAGGTTCTTCTTGACTGTCAGTTTCTCAGACTTCCTTGTTTTTAATGACCTTGGCCATTTTGAGGAGTAACCCTGGTGGCGTAGTGGTTAAGAGCTACGGCTGCTAACCAAAAGGTCAGCAGTTCAAATCCACCCGGCGCTCCTTGGAAACTCTATGGGACAGTTCTACTCTGTCCTACAGTGTCGCTATGAGTCAGAATCAACTCGACGGCAGCAGGGCTCGGGTCCAGTATTTTGTAGGATGCCCTTCTTTTGGACTTTATCTGATATTTTTCTCATAATTAGACTGGGGTTATAGACTTTGGGGACGAAGACTACAGTGGTTAAGTGCCACTTTCATCACATCATATCAAGGGTACATACTATCAGCATGATTTATCACTATTTATTTTGACCATGATCCCTTGGCTGAGGTAGTGTTTGTCAGATTTCTCCACTGTAAAGTCACTTTTTCTCCCCTTTTTCCATACTGTATTCTTCAGAAGGAATTCACTATGTGCAGCTCAACTAATGGAGTAGGGATTTTGGCTCCCTCGAGAGTGGAGTATATACATAAATTATTTGGAATTCTGCAAGGAAAATTTGTGTCTTCTTCCCCATTTATTTATATATTCAACCATATCAGTATGGACTCATGGATATTTATTTTATACTTTGGGTACAATACTGCCATATTTATTTTGTTCAAATCCTTCCAGCTTTGGCCATTGGGATCTCTTGCAGTTGGCTCCTTTGCCCATTTGACATACCCCGTTTGGGTATGTGGATTTTGGTTTCTTTTTGAGCACTTTTTTCTTCTTAGCACTACAACATGCTCCAGGCTCATCTTGTGTATTTCCTGACCCAGCCATTTCTCCAAGGAGCCCTGGCTCTTTCAATTGGAGAGTGATATTATAAATCGAGATCTGGATGGTAAGTATGCTTGTTGCCACTGATGTGTCGTTTCTTTTACACCTTCTCAGCTGACGTGTATACTACTAATATATGTGCATTTACTAGCATGTGTATATATTTATAAATATCTGTATATAGCCATCCGTCTCTATATTACACTAAACTTGAGTTATTATGTCTCCAACTCTAATCCATTACCACAAGGATCATTCTAGTCTCTTCCCCTTGTTTATCTGTAAATTACCACTCCAACATTGAGAAACCTGGCACCCACCATCTGCCATCCATTTACTTAATTGTTCAATTCCTGTATAACAATGTATAACAATGTCAGAATTGTTAACCCATACCCCCATGGGAAACAACTTTATCAACTAGAGTACAGTGCTTATTTGCAGGTACTTTTGACTTTTGTCTTATAGATTCCACTTACTTGCAGAGTTACAAAGTTACTTAGGTTTCATCCCTTTCAGTGAGGTGGTTTCATGTATTTGTAATACAGTTAGATTCTCTTGTCACAGTCTGGATTCTTCCCTGGAAACCCCCAACTTCCTAAATTTTTTTTTTTTTTTTTTTTTTTACATTAAGGGTCACCCTTTGGGCAGTAAAGTTCTATGGGTTTGGAAATGCATAATGTTATGTATTACAATATACAAAATAGTTTCACCACCTGTAAATTCCCTTCTTCACCTAGTCAGCTCTCACGCACTCACCTCAAACCTCTGGCAACCACTGATCTTTTTACTGTCTGTAAACCAAAAGAAACAGTTGCTGTCGAGTCTGTTCCAACTCATGACAACCACATGTATTGCAGAGTAGAACCGCACTCTGTAAGGTTTTCAAAGCTATGACCTTTTGGAAATAGATCACCAGGCCTTTCTTCTAAGAAGCCTCTGAGTGAGTTTAAACTGCAAACGTTTTGGTTAGTAGTCGAGTGCTGAATCACTCAGGGAGGGACTCCTACTGTCTCTATAGTTGGTCTTTTCCAAAATGTCATATACTTGGGATCATACAGTATTTTCAAACTTCTTTAACTTAGCAATATGCATTTAAGGTTCATTCATGTCTTTTTGTAGCTTGATAGCTCATTTCTTTTCATTGCTGAATAATGTTCTATTGTGTGGATGTACCGCAGTTTGTTTATCCATTCACCTACTGAAGGGCATCTTGGTTGCTTCTAGTTTGAGGCTAGTATGAATAAAGCTGCTATAAACTTTCATGTAAAGTTTTTTGTGTAGACGTAAGTTTTCAACTGAATTGAGTAAGTACCTACCTAGGAAGGTGATTGCTGGATCGTATAGTAAGACTATGTTTAACTTTGTAAGAAGCTGCCAAACTATCTTACAAAGTGGCTGTACCATTTTTATCCCCACCAACGAAGTCTGAGTTCATGTTCCTGTTGTTCTGCATCCTTGCCAGCATTTGGTATTGTCAGGTTTTTTTGATTTTTGATTTAATCATTCTAATAAGTGTGTAGTGGTATCTCGTTGTTTTTTTTTTCTTGTTTTAATTTGCAATTCCCTAATGGCAAATGATGTTGAGCAATGTTTTATATGCGTAATTGTCATCTCTGTATCTTCTTTGGTGACGTCTCTGTTCATATCTGCCCATGTTTCAATTGGGGTTTTTGCTTTCTTTTTATTGAGTTTTAAGAGTTCTTTATATTTTGGATACAAGTCCTTTCAGATATGTGTTTTGCAAATATTTTCTCCCAGTCTGTGGGTTGTCTTTTTATTCTTTTAACTGTGGTTTGGTTTTGTTTAATGTTTACCATTTTACTGTTGCCGTCGAGTCATTTCCGACTTACAGCAACCCCATAGGACAGAGTAGAACTGCCTCATAGAGTTTCCAGGGAGCGCCTGGTGGATTCGAACTGCCGACCTTTTGGTTAGCAGCTGTAGCTCTTAACCACTGTGTCACCAGGGCTTAATATAGATACCCTTTATCAGATTCAGGAAGCTCTCTTCTATACCTGTTTTGCTGAGATATTTAAGTGAACAGATTTTGAATTTTTTTCAAATGCTTTTTCTGTATCTATTTTGATGATCATATGGTGTTTATCTTTTATTGTGTTAATATGGTAGATTACGTTGATTTTTTTTTTTTTTTTAGTTTATTGTGGTAAAATGCGTATAACAAAATTTGCACAATTTTTAAGTGTGCGTTTCAGTGAAATTAGTTACGTTTACAATGTTGTGCAACTATCACCATTTTCAGTTTTTTTTCATCACCGTACACAGAAACACTGTACCTATTAAGCAATATGATTATTATTTTATTGAATTTTGAAAGATAAACCAACCTTTCATTCCTGAGATAAACCCACCTGGTCAGATGATTTATCTTTTCCTGTATTACTGGATTTTGTTCGCTGATCTTTTGTTACAGATTTTTATGTTCATGATGAGGGATATTGATCTATAATTTTCCTTTCTTGTAATGTCTTTTTCAGATTTTGGTATCAGGGTTATGCTCTACTCATAAGTTGGGAAATAGTCCTTCCTCTATTTTTTGAAATATTTTATGTAAAATTGTATTATCTTTACTGTAAATGTTTCATTAGAAATCCTTTGGGCCTGGAGTCTTCTTTGTGGAGAGTTTTAAATAAGTAATTCAATTTCTTTGTTAGATATAGGGTTCTTCAGATTTTCTATTTTATCATATGTAAGTGTATAAAATTATGTTTTTCAAGGGATTTGTCCATATCACCTAAGTTGTCGAATTTATTTGCATAAAATTGTTCCTAATACTCCCCTAACCTTTTGATATTTGTAAGGTCTGTAGTGATATCCTTCTCTCATCTTTGATACTGTTCAGTTGTGGTTTTGCTCCTTTTATTGATCAGTCCTCCTAGGGGTTTATCAACATTATTAATATTTTCAAAGAACCAAACTTTAATTCTAAATTTTTCCTGTTTTTTATTTTGTTGATTTCTGTTCTTTATTATTTCCGTACTTCTATTTACCTTGGGTTTAATTTGCTCTTCTTTTTCTGGCTTCTTAAGATGGAAATTTAGGTCATTGATTTTAATCCTTTCTTCCTAATACAAGCATTTAAAACTATAAATTTCCTTTTTAAGCTCTGCTTTACCTGCATCTCACAAATTTTTATATGTTTTATATTTTTATTATCATTCAAAATATTTTCTAATTTCCCTTGGGCTTTCTTTTTTGACCCCTGGGTGATTTAGAAATGTGTTTGATATCCAAACATTTGAAGGTTTTCTGGATATCTTATTTTTGTTAATTTCTAATTTTTTATGTAGTCTGAGAAAATGTTCTGGAAGATTTCAGTCTTCTGAAATTTATTGAGACTTGTTTTATGAACCATTTTTATGGTTCGTCTTGATCACATCATTCCATGTGCACCTGAAAAAAATATGTATTATGCAGTTATATTAGGTGTAGTGTTCTATGCCAATTAAGTCAAAGTAGTTTCAGTATTTAGATTTCCTATATTCTTATTAATTTATACCTATTTTTTCTATCAATTACTAAAATTACTCATAAAAGAGTAGTAAAATCTCCAACTATAATTGTGGATTTATTGATTTCTCCTTTCAGTTCTATCAGTTTTTGCATCATAAAGCTCTGTTATTAGTACATATGCAGTTATAATTTTTATGTCTTCTTGATGTATTGACCCTTTTATCTTTGTGAAATGTCCCTCTTTATTTCTGGTAGTAATTTTTGTCTTGAAGTCTGTTTTGTCTGGTAGTAAAATAGTTCCTCCAGCTTTCTCATACTTACTGTTTGCATGGTGTACCTTTTTCCATCCTTCTACTTTGCTGTCTTTACTGTCTTTGTATTTTCAAGTGCATCTTTTGTACAAAGCATATAGTTGGGTCTTGCTTATTTACTCTGATTAGCCTGTTAATTGGTTCGGTTAGTCCGTTTACATTTAATGTTATTACTATGTTTGGATTTAGGTCTACCATTTTGGTATTTGTTTTCTGTTTGGCTCATGTGTTTTTTAATTCCTCTTTTTCTTGTTTGTTTTGTTTTTCGCTTAACCTCTTTGCATTATGTTTTCAGTTGTTGCTCTAGGGATTACAGTATGCATCTTTATTACCCTACACTTAGTGTTAATATTGTACTATTTCACATAAGATACAGGAAACCTATAATAGAATAATTCCAATTTTCCACCCCCTCCCTTTCCTCTCTGCTATTGTTTGTGAGAGTCATCCATGTTTTTTGCATAGTTATGGATAGATAATTCTCACTGTTGAATATTTGTCCATTTTGTGAGTATACCAATGGATCTACTCTATTCTAGAATTTGAGTTGTTTCCGGTGTTGCACTGAACATTTTATTACCTTTTTTTTTTTGGCATTGCTATTGAGTGTACTCTAGCAGTGGAATTTATGAGTCAAAAGGCATGTGTATGTTTGGCTTTACCCATCAGTTTTCCAAAGCAATTGTACCAGTTTACACTCATACCAGCAGTGTATAAGATTTCCAGTTGCTCCACATCAGCAGACAGTCAGCGAAAAAGAGGAAGACCCTCAACAAGATAGATTAACACAGTGGCTACAAAAATGGGCTTAAGCATAACAATTGTGAGGATGGTGCAGGACCAGGCAGTGTTTCGTTCTGTTGTATGTAGGGCTACTATGAATCGGAACTGACTCGATGGCACCTAACAACAACAACAATAGTAGAAGACTGGGAACATGGAGAACAGCAAACTCTGGTGGTGGTGGTAGTTGTTAGGAGTCGGAACCAACTCGATGGCAACTAACAACCGCATCAGTACTTAATGTTGTCTTTTTTGTCTTTACATACTACACACCACCATCCACTACACACCACCATCCACTACACACCAATCTTTTCATCTTCAGGTGGGTGTGTAGTGATACCCCATTTTAATTCAAAATTTTTTTAGACACTATGCTGGCCAAACAAAACACAATGTGTGGGTCAGATGTGGCCCATACACCACCTCTAGTTTAGACTATGTTGTCTATGAGGATTAGTGTTCGTCTTAATGTGCGCATGAATAATATAAAAATTGTCTGCTAGACAGCTGGAAAAATAAAAAAATTCATGCTGCAATCCTACTAGTAGAGAAATCTTGAAGCAAACTGTATCTTGAGGATTCATTTGCATTCCTGTTGCTCTGTCCAGTGGGGCAAGTGGAAAGCACCATGGCAAAATTTTTTTGGGTGGAGGAAGAGGAAGACAAAACAAAAGACAGAGGAGCAAGATGAAGTAGAGACTTCTTATGTGTGGGTGAGGGGGTGGGGTGGGGAGGCATAGGATAAAGAGTTTAGAGTCTTGGACTATAGAAAATTCAGTTTAATTTGAATTTTCATTTTCTTCTTTTCCCTTTGGTTAGCCAACCTTTCTGTAAAGTCTGTTGTGTACACGTCTTGGTGAAAAGAATGGTGATGACATGGAAAATGAAGAGCTAGGGCAGAAAAGGGAAACCACCCCATATCCATCCCTTTCCATTTTGTCAAGATTTCCAAATGGTGACCAATGGATCTACGCAGACTAGGATGTGGGGTGAGAGGAACCACCTAGGGAGCAGCTGGCTAGTGAAGGCCTTCTCCCTCCCATATTACATAAAAGAAGAGGGTGACTTTTAGAGGAAGGAAGGCTGACATCTACATTATAGTTGGAACTCTATATTCAACGCACTTTCCCTGCCTTAGCATATCCTGGGCCTCAGCTTGTGACCTCTCTTTCCCTATCCACCAAGGCTGGTAACCAGTGTAAAAAGGGTCAAACTTCAAGGATCTGTGTTCTGGGTTTAGTGGCAAGAGTCTGGTTCAGATGTGTCTCTTGACATTGAAGCCTCCTGAGGACCAATTAGATGTCTCCAGACCTCAGGAAGTTTTAGGGCTGGAGGGCACTGTGGTCGGAGGCCTACAAGTAGAGCTGGAACTCGACTCTTGGGAGTTTACAGGAGGAAGAGCTCAGCTCCCATTGAGGAAGGATGTCCCCCAAGCTGAGCCACCCCACAAGGGAAGGAAAGGAAGAGGAAGTGAATTCCTTGTTCCTATAAATGACAGAAAGTAGTAAAACAGGTCCTATCTGGTGGGGGAGGCATCAGTTTCAAAGGGCATGTAGGGTCCTTTCCAGCTTAGCTTTCTGGACATAGGAGTCTCAAAACATAGGTACTGGAGAAGCACCCACTGTGGGATGCTCAGAGCGTGGATGCACAGACCCTCACTGTTGAGACGGACAGTCTCAGGGATGGACATGGTGTAGAGTGCCACCCCGTGGGCTGATGACTGAGTGTGGCCAGACAGAGCCAGAGCTGGAAAAGACCCCAATACCACAGGACTCTGAGAAAGCAGGCAGGGTATGGCCTGGATCATCCATCAGCTCAGATGACTGACAGAGACCCTGACACAGCCTCTCCTTTCGAGCCCTCAGGGAGAGAGAACTTCAACCTGCCACTTTATTTGTGGGGAAACCAAGGTCCAGAAAGGTTAAGTGACTTACCCCAAATTGCTCAGCTAATGTGCTGTCACAAGGTCCACCTGACCTCGGAATCCACACTCCTCTCACTATCCCATGGAGACCTAGAGGGCAGGGCCTCTTGGGAGAACAAACAAAGCTAGAGCCAGAGCTAGAGCCAAACACACCTTTATTAGTCTCTGCAGCAGAGCCAGTGGACCCCCATCTATAGGAAATCTTTAGCAGACTACTCTGGCTACTGGTCAGGTATGTTAGCACTTCTATTGGTGATGGGGACAGGATAGGGGATGGTACTGGAAGGTGACAAAATGGACTGCTGAGCCACCTGCATCGAGGCACATATGGGACCTCCTGGACTGGGGAAAGGTGGATCAAGCCCCAGAGGTGAACACTGCCATTCTCCCAAAGGGACACCTCCATGTTCCCCAGAGTGAAGGAAGAGACTAAGCCTGAGATGGTAACAGCCACAGCTATGGACAGAGGGCCAAGCTCTGGGGAACAGAGTCATTTCCTAATGGAAGCAACTTCATAGGTAGGGCTGGAGGTCCCAAACAGCTCTGAGCACTGAAGGAACAGAGGGCCCAGGAAGCTGGTGGTGAGAAGGGTAGAATAAACTGGGGGAGTGGTTTGGGTATGAGTATGTGTCAGTGCTAATAAAACAGGCAATACATAGCAGGCACAATCATGAAACTTCCTTCCATTGAAAGCTCTAGTCTCCTCCTTAACCAGCAAGCTGTTTAGCCCGTAGGCCTAATCCAGCCCAACAGAACTCCCTTTTAATTCCTAAGACATGCCATGACATTCACGGATCTGCACTGCTACCAACAACACTACTCCCAGTCTACCTGCCTTGCTCCCTGCCCCCCATGCGTCCCTGTCAAAAGGCTGACAACTGGTCAAGTGTGTTTACTCCTGTTTCCCCCACCAGGCCTGCAGCCCCCAGAGGAGAGCGCGCGTGTCCCCAGCGCCTGGAGAACTTGAAGCCAAATGAGTTGTTTGTTGTGCCCTAGTGTGCACGGGGGAAATACAGCCATATGTTTCTATAATGGATTTCCAGGCTGTCTGGCGGCAGACACGAGAATTTTTGGGGGCAGATGGTGTCTGCGAAATGACAGCTTATTCGAATGTGGGGGCATGGGGGGGGGGTTGTCCAAGCTTCTAGAAGGGAGTAGGGAAAGAGGAAGAGGCCAAAGTGGAGCAGGAATTGGAATGTGGGTCGCTGCGGGGGTGGAGAGTGGGATGTAGGAGGAAGAGGGGTCTAGCGGTCCATGCGGAGGCAGGTCAGGGTTCTGCGCTGAACCCCAGGGCTCAGAACCAGCAGGGCGACCACATGAGCGAGCCGAGCGCGGCACCCGTGGCGGCCCCTGCGAGCATGCCCATGGCCAGCGGGGCGCCCGCGCTGTAGCAAGGATCCTCCCGCACTACCACATGTGTCACGCCGGGGCCTGCGGGGAGAGCCGGGAGGGGCAGGATCATCAAAGGGGGCAAGCGGAATGACCGCCGTCCCCCTCTTCGTGCGACTCTCCCCCAACCCAGAGAAGGCGCTGGGCCCATTCTTCTCTCTAGGCAGGGAAACTGAGGCCTTGAAATGGGAAGGGCTACGCCCCGACTACTTCTATGCCTTGGATCTGCTTCAGACGTTCTGGGACCGTGGGGCCAGGAAACCCTGGGATCTCTTAAGTCCCTCCAGACCGCACTTGAAGATGGGCGTTCCTAACGGCCAGACCCTGGAGCGGGAAGGAGGCAGCTGTTCCCAGATTAGCCACCAGGTGTCGCCACCAGCGCAGGAACGGGTACTCCCGGCCAGCCGGGTCGAGTAGGGGCGGGCCTATAGAGGTGAGGTCAGCTCTAGAGAGCGGAGGGAGGCTTGTCCGAGAGCTATTGTGTGTCTCGAGATGGGGAAAAACTTGGAGGTTCCCGCCTGGGGAAAATCCACGGTCACTAAAAGAGTGGGGGCGGGGCGGGGCGGAGGGCGGGGGTGGGGTGGGGGCAGGGCCAGTTCGAGGTCTCTGGATCATGGCCCGGGGCCTGGCGCCAGAGCGAGGCAGGGAGGCGGGCGGGAGACTTACCAGCGTAAGGCGGCCCGTAGTAACTGCGGACATATGTGGCCTCGTGCGCGTTGGGTGGCACCACCTCGTAGTAGTCCTGGTAGGGGCTGTAGACGCGCACCTGGGAAGCCCTGCCGGGTTAGCTGCCCAGGAACTCCCTGGCCAGTGTTTGGTCCCCTACCTCCCACACCCGGCTCAGGCCCCTCTGGGCCCAGCAGAGCCATTTCCCCAAGTTCAGAAATGGGCTCCCAAGGACCAGCAAGCCCCTGGAAGAGTCCCTGCGTCTCCACAAGGTCCATGGTCCTTGACCTTTAAAACGTCATCCCCTGTATCCAGCTCCAGTGTTGCCCATTCTCCCGCCCTAGCCTCCTATCTAGCACTGCCCTGCTCAAAAATTCTCCATGGCTCCCGACTTCCCTTCATAGATGGTCTAATATTTGCTGGCAACTCTACAATGGTTTCACTTGGAGAAACTCAATGGATTTCTCTACTCTTCTAGTCAGGGGTAGGGGGAGCTGGTCAAGCACCACTCCTAGGAAATAAACAGGGGTTGGAGAGGCAGGAAGGGAAGGTTAGGGTTGGAGAGGGAGAAAGGGAAGGTTAGGGTAGGAACTGGAAGGAACTATTATCGAGCATCTACCATGTACCAGGTCCTGAAGGAGGTGTTCACATGTATTATCACCTCTAATCTTAAGGCAAGCATTATTATCTCCCATTTTACCACAAGGGAAGAGACCGAAGCTCAGAGGAGAACTCCCACCAATCCTTTAAAGCCTAGTTCGAAAGTTGCCCAGTCCAGGAATCCTCCTGGTCTCAGAATTCTTACTTCCTGAGTTCTGTGTAGACTTTGCTTGTACCTCTTTGTTCCTAGCCTTTCTCCTGGCCTTTCCCACCCACACCCCAAATGTGAGCTACCTATAGTCAAGGACTCATTCACTTGTGTCATCTGCAGGGCCTAAAACAGCAGGAACCAATAAATTTGTGCTGAATTAAATGGAAGCTCCCAATCCAATCCTCTCACTTTACCCATGGGGGAGCAGGCCCAGAGAGGGGGCCGGATCCCGTTCACTTCTGGCTCCTTCCTCTTAGCCACCTTCCACTCCATCTCTCTCTCTAACTGAGCTTCACACCGAAAAGGTCCAACTCCCCTTAGATGTCTGGGTGTCTCAAACTCCCCCCATCTCAAAGTGATCACATTATCTCTCCAGCTCCCAAAACTGCTCCTCTTCCTGTAAATGCTTTTCTCTGTAAATGCGACCAGTGCACACCCAAACCAAAAAATCAGGTTGTCAACTTTGTCTTCTCACACTCCCCTTCCATATCAAATCAGCCACCAGGTCTCGTGATTTTATCTTCTAAAAATGCTCTCCTGTCCATCCTCATGGCCAATGCCAAGAGAATAAGCCATTGGTTGGCAACTTGGAAACTGTGGGCAACCAGGGTAGAATCCAGACTATGGAGGGTTGAAGAATAGTTGAGAGGTGAGGAATGTAATCAACATGTAATGGCTTCTCTTTCAAGAAGTTTAGCTATAAAAGGAGTTCTCCAGGCACACCATGTGATTTCAAGTCTCCATGCCTTTGGTCATCCACTTCCCTTTGATAGGGATACCCTTCTTACCCTTTTTTATTTCAACTACCTGACTTGTCTTTTAGATGCAACTCATGTGTCACTCTCCCTGAACCTCAGGCTCTGTTGGGGTCCCATTTGGGCATCCACAGCTCTTGGGCTTCCCTCCATCACAGCACTGATCACACTGTATTGTCATTGCTTGTGTCTCTGTATGTGTCTCCCATGAGAACTGGAGACCCCCCAAAGGCAGGCGCTAGATCTAATCAGGCCAGATTGGGCAGAGCCTGGCATATGGTAGGTGTCTAATATTTAAATGTTTGTTGAATTTACCTCAAGTGAACCAAATACAGGGCCAGGACTAGAACCAAGGTCACCCAACTCCGAGTCCAATTTCAGTCCCAGGGCAGTACAAGAGGCTCAGACAAGCAATGCTGTGGGTCCTCAGTCTCACGGAACTCCTCTCACTGTACCCTTCCCCAAAGAGCGATCCAAGAAGGCTTTCTAGTGGAAATGGCCAGGATCTGGGCCCCATGCCCAAGAGGGGTCAGAAGGATCTAAGCCTTCAGATCCCCAACTTAACAGGTAGGGAAGCTGAGGTCCAAAAAGAGTATCCACCTGCCCTGTGGCTGCAGTGAGCCAGTGGCTTTGGTAGGCCCCGAGGAGGGTGGAAAACACCAGCTTATGTCCCTCTGGGGCGCCTGTCTCTACCCTCCAGGTCTGGGAGGCCCAAAGGCAAACTCATGTAGGTCACCTGGCAACAGGCAGGCAGGCAAGTGAGGCGCCAGGGACCTCAGAGACAGAACCTTAGGGCATGATCTCCAATCTTCTCCCTCTTTGACGATGTCTGGCATCTGGGAAGTCCTCACTGAGGAGGTAGCAGTCTTTGAGGTGGGTCTTAAAGGATGCGCATCAGATTGTCAAGTGAATAAGGAAACTAAGGGTCTTTTCGGCAGAGAAAACAGCATGCGCAAGGCTAGGATGAGGACAAGGGTCTGGGGCAGCTGGGAGCAGGGGGTCAGCGGAGTGGTTGGAGAACAGAGGATGAGGGGGATGAGACAGGAGAGGCTGGCCCAGGCCAGATCACAAGGGCTTCGAAAGCTGGGCTGTGGTTGGTGTCTTGTGAGTGATGGGGAGCCATGGAAGGTTTGTGAGCAGGGAAGGGGTGTGACCAGGCCTGGTTTCGGAGACTCATCCTGGTGGCCAGTACGGAGGCAGGGAGGGCTGAGCCAGCACTTACCCAGATTCGCCTCTCAACCTTACAGGGGTTCCACGAGCGGGTCACACACCTGACCTTGGGGCAAACCCGGCGGCTCCTGGGAGGGACTGTGGCTCCAGTTGGGGCCTGCTCAAGCCACAGAAACCCGAGAAGGAGGAGGGAGGGAGGTGTCAGAGGCCCTCTACACTCTATGAGAATCAGAGGTCTTAACAGACCCTACCAGAGCCATCTGCTAGCTGGGGTGGGAAAGATGGTTCTCTCTTCTTCCTCAACCCTTGGTAATGGGAGGTGGTTTAGAGAGGAATGGTGACTTTGCCAAAGTTATCCAGAGAAGGACTGATAGTCTCTCTCCGGCATTAGCCCACCTTCACCTGTTTCGGGCAGCTGAGGCTCCCAGTCTCCAGGGAGGACAGGGCAGCTCTGATGTGCCCTCTCTCTCACCTGGCCTTCTTCAGAGCAGCACCCCCAGTCTTGTCCCTTACTGCACCCCCAGGTCTTATGTTCCCTGGTACATCTGAGGTCAGGGGCTCCTGGAGCCTCCAACCAGAGCGGGATATGAACCTTCAGGGTGTAGACGGACAAAGTACAGGTCACTCCAATGCAGGCACCAAGGCAGAAAGAAGCCCACAGACACAGACATGAACACACACAGAGACAGGCAGAGACATAGCTACAAAGACACAGAGGCACAAACACACACCTGTTCTAATAAGCCCTGTGACCAGAGGGGTGTATGTGTGTAGAGCAGCAGGAGATAGAACAGGGGGTCAGGGGACAGAGAGGAAGAGATGTGGTATGCCAAGCAGCAGGAGGGTGGACAGAGAAGGGACAAGGTAGCTTCACAGAGTCATAGAGTGCAGAACGGTCAACCCTCACCTCCTTCCTCTGCCCCCTTAGGGGGGACTGATTTGCCCAACCCTGGGTCACTATGAGTTGGAATCGACTTGACAGCAACCAGTTTGGTTGGTTTTTGGTTTGGGTCCCTCTACCCTGCTGACCACTATTCCAGCCTCCTCACTCCCAGCGTCCTTCAATCCAGCCTCCACCTGGAAGCCTGAGTCTGCCCACAAATCTGCCTAGTCTCCCCTGCTTAATGCCCTTTACTGTTCCCCACACCCTAGGATGAAGTCCACTTCCTTCAACTGGACTTCCAGACCCTTCGTGACCTAGTCGCTGATGACATCAGAGGTCTTCTCTCCCATTGCATTCCCTCCGTGTGCTGCCCTTCAGCCAGGCCAGCCTCCTGGCCCTTAGACACATGCATGCGTACACACACATACACACATCACTTTCCTGCTTGTTACGCAGTCCTTTCTGCAGATAATGTCCTCTCAAAATATCACTGACCTAGGTTCCAATAGAGGCTTTTCCATTGACAAGACTATGAGACTTTGGACAAGTCACTTCCCCTCTCTAAGCCTCAGCTTCCATGTCTATAAAATGGGACTAATCATACCAGTCCCCCACCGCCCTCCTGCTAGGGTTGTTGGAAGATTAAACTATGTAACCAAAGCTAGGTATTCAGCACAATCCCTGGCCCTCAGCAGGTGGATGCCCAAGGGGGTTTCTAAATGCATCCCAGTCTCCCTTGCTACTTCCCTGTGGACTTTACCTCTAAATGAAAGGAGGCTCTACTGTGCCCCAGAGAGAAGGGGCAAGCACAGAATCTGGAGTTAGGCAGATAGGGATCGAGACCAGGCTACCATCCCTGAGCTAGGGGCCTTGGGCAGCTCCCCAAAACCAACCTCACACCTCTATCAGTCTCTAAGCTCTGCTGAGTCCACCTCCTAAATACATTCTGTCCTTATCTGTCTGTCTCTGCCAGCAAGGTCTTAGTGCAGACCTCCAGCCTGTCACTTGTCCCATTCTTCTACCTGGTCTCCAATGGCCTCTCTTGCCCCCTATAATCCATTCCCTACTTAACAGCCAGGCTGTCTTTTTAAAAATACAAATCTGATCTAATCTTATCATTCTGTCCCCCAGTGGCTTCCCAGTGCTCTCAGCAGAAACCAACATCCCTAACACGGCCCACAAGGCCTGTCCCTGCCAACCTTCCTACCCCATCTCCCTCTCACTCCTTAAGCTCCAGCTACCCCAGCCTGCCTTCTGTTCCTCAAATTGCCAAGGTCTTAAGCACTGTTCAGGGCCTTTGCACATGCTATTCCCTTTGCCTGAAAAGCAGTTTCCTTCCTCCACCCCACACCTTTCACCCAGCTGATTTCTGTTTATCCTTCAGGTCTCAGCTTATGCCTTGTCTGCACACCCACCTGGATCAGGTGGTCTCACATCACTTGCACATTGCACTTCTCTGTCAGAGTAGTTACCACCATTGCACTGAAATCATCTACGTAATCAGTTGTTTCACATCTGTCTCCCCGACTAGGCTGAGTCCCAGAGGGAAGGGCCTATATCTCCTTGGTTCACCTCTGGTCCCTGGTACCTGGCACAGTGCCTGGCACATAGTAGAAACTCAGTAAATATTTTTGGTTGGATTATTGAACCTCGGTTTTATCATCTGCAGGATTACTGTGAGGAGCGGCTGGGATAACACCTGCATCACACCTAGCACATAACAGTTGCTCGACAGAAGACAGTTCCTTTCCCCTGGCTCCCATGCCACCACCTCCAGCAAACCTCCTGGAGGCTTCTCTCTCTGCCCCCTCTGTCTTCTGTTGGCTGTCCTTCATCCTTTTCCACCTGGGACTCAGGGCATCTGAGTCTGCACAAGTCTGTCCACACTAGCCTGGGAACTCCTGGCAGGTGGAGACCGAGTCTGAGTCACCTATGATTCCATGGCAGATGGGGGTGGGGAGCAGACAGGGAGAGACGGGGGGCTCACCGGGGTGGAGTTCGCCTCCATCAGCGCTGTCTTCCATGCTCTGCAAAAGCAAACCCCACCAGACCATGAGGAGGGGGCTTGGGAGAAGGGTGATTTGGTCCCCAAATTTCAGACCTTCCTCCCCATCTCAGCTTCCTGCCCCAGTTCCTCATTGACTCCTTTTGTGTAGACAAAGGTGACCTCTCTCTTGCTCCAGTCACATGGGCAGAGCCCTAGGTTAGGCTGGAGCCTCCTAATTCATTCACAGTCCATGGTCTCTTCCCAGCTAGAAGTTCTAGTTTCCCCACCTATACAATGGGAAGTTGGGCTTGGGTGGCCTCTAAGGGGCCTTCAGTCTGATCTGCCTGGGTGGGTTCTCTAGCTGCAGCCCACCTCCACATCCCGAACCTACAAACATAGTTCCCCAAAGCTCTGACCCCAGAGTACCAGCAAGGCCCAGTGGTTTTGGACAATTGGGCCTTTGTTGGTTGCCATGGCGCCTGGCTGGGGTGGACAAGGCGGCTCTGTGCTTTGTCTGCCCAGAGCTGAGCTTCCCCTGCTCCCACACACCCCATCTCTTTCACTCTTCTACAGGGCAGAGGCCAAATGACCCCCTGCCAGAGGGTAGGAAGGGAAAGAATGTGAGGGAGCAGATGGTGCCTAAGGAACACACACCCAGTTTTGCGTGTGGATCTGCATCTGACATTAGGGTACCCCCAGCACACTCCCAGGCTGCCTCTGGGTCGCCCCCTCAGATCAGAGTCCACCTGTCCCCACACCAGGGCAGCACCATAGCCATCTTCTCAGAAGGGAGAGGAAGGGAGGGCTCTTTGAGGATGGCACTAGGCTTGTCTGCTCCTTTGTACCACCCCCAGGCAAGGGCTCACCTCAGAGGCTGCTAAGTATCTGACTCTCAGTAACCGGGGACCACACATCTGAGGTAGATGTGCACCCCTCAACAGTCCTGAGTTCATTGTAAACTGTGTGGGGAGTTTACTGCGCATCATACCAATCACCATGAGCCATTCAAGTCCGCTCTGCCCAGCCCCCAATGAGACAACCACACTGACTGGTGTTCATCCCCTCTTCCTACCCTCAGGGAATCAGAAGGCCCATTGAGGAGGGGGCATTTGATTTCATTCTCCAAGATCCCACCCCATCCTCTCCTGGGAGCAACTCACATGGCGTCATCCTGGGTCTCTGCACATAGGTGCAGGCGGGAGCCCTCCCGCAGGTGCACAGTCAGCAGGCCATCTCGGCTCTGGCCCTCTGGGGGCTGCACATCTGGAGGCAGACACACAGATATGGGGTTTCCATGGGGCACAGACCCCAGGCCCCTCCCCAGCATACTGAGAACAACAGCAAGAACTGACTTCTGTAGGTCCTATTTACTTGCCATTGCCAACCTTCTCTGATCCCATATGCTTTCTTTGGGATTCCACTCTACCCCTCAATCCTTTTCAGCCTCCCCACATTGCCCACTTCCCTAGGTACACCTTCCAACTACAGTGTTATTTATAACTGTGACCAGAGCTTTAGATGAGAAATTTAGAGATTTGCTGTGTGACTCTGGAGTAGTCACTTACTTTCTCTGAGCATCCTTATTTCATTTCATCTTTATCCAGTTCCTAGTGCCTAGAGGGCAGGAACTGTGTCTGGCTCATCTCTGTGACCCCAGCACAGGGTAGGAAGTCAATAAGGAACTAATGTATTAATTCACACCCAAATGAACTGGAGTTGACAGAGGCCCAGAACCAATGTCCATGGAAGCCCTCTGAAAGCTGCAAAGAACCTTCCAACTGCAGGTGTCCTCAGACACAGTGAAAGGACCCCACCTCTAGTCACAGTGCCAGGGAAGAAGGGATGTCTGCTCACCATGGCACTCTTGGCCAACCTTCACGTCACGGACATTGAAGTGGATGAGCACACGGTCTTCCTCATCCTGCGCAGTCTCGTCACGATAGTAGCCCAAGGTTCCATCCAGCCACAGGGCAAACCAGTTCCGCTTCCAGCGGCGGAGGATGGAGCCTGTGCAACATTCCAGACCCACCAGACAGGCTGATCCCAGAGCCTGCTGGGGGGCAGGAGCCCTAGATGTGCTCCCAGGGTCCCCTCAGCCCCAGCACCTAGTGTTGTAACCACCCCTCCCTTGTCTCCCCTCTGAAATGAGGGCAGGGGCTCTTTCTGTCTTGCTCACCCCACCCCCTACCATTGGGCCTGACACATAGTAGAGGCTCAATAAATGTGTTGAATGGTAAATGGAGCTTTCAAGCCAAGACTCAGGTCTTTTCAAGGGTAAAGACCTCTCGCTACCCTGAGCCATCATCTTATCTCTTATCTCTGACTTATGTGACAGTCATTTGTGCAGCGTCTGCCTCCTCTACCAGATTGAGGGTCCATGGCTTCCCATGTAGGTCCTGACACCCAGCAGGACCTGTGTTCAGTGTTTGCTGAACTGAACCAAACTGAGAATGGCAGGGGCCCATGGAGGTGGGGAGTCCTAGTCCCAGGGGTCTCTGCGATAACTCTTGTTCAAATCATGACTCTGGTCAGGAGTAGGTCTGAAACCCTGAGCCCTAAAGTCTCAGAGATTTTGCAATGGGAAATCTTAACAGGAAAGAGCAAAGACATAAGAGCGTTTTAGAGCTTTACAGATTCCAAAGCACTGAACAGAGGCATTTTTCATTTTGTTCTGTGCTCTGTTCTGTGTCCGGCCCTAGGCTGAGGTGCTGTGAACACACAGAGGGTCAAACCCCATTCTTGCTGTTGAGGAGCTCACAGTCTGGGCTAGTATGGCTGAAGAAGTAGAGAGACTCATAGGTAAAGGTAGTTATATAATAGGAGGGTCAATTTGATAACGGGGTATATGTGAGGCATTGTGGGAGCTGAGAAAGGAGCCTCTAGCCCAGCTTGGTGCTATAGCCGGGATGGAGGTAGGGTATTAGAGGGAGTCAGAGAAGGCTCCTCAGAGAGGGGACATTTGAGCTGCGTGTTGAAGAATAAATAGAAGTCAACCGAGAAGTCAGAGATGGGAAGGATGTTCCAGGCTGAGGGGAGGGCATGGACAGAGCAAGGAGGATAAAAAGGCACTGGCTTCTTAGGAGAAGGGTTCACAGTGCAGCAGTCCCAACAAGCCATTTCCCTCACCCCTGCCTGAGGATGAGGTGCTGGGGACTGAGGTGCAGGACAAACAACGGCTTGGCCCGGCTCACTTACTCTGTCTCCACAGCCAGCCGCCCCTCACCAGGGCCATTTCTCCAAAAGGACTTTCCAGGGCGGAGTCAGGTGGGACCTGTCAGAGGAGCCACAGGACACACAGGCCTCATCAGCAGCTCCAGAGCAGCTCCCCAGAGAGAAGCCCCCAGCCCAGCCTTCCCTGGGGGAGCCACAGAGGAAACGTTCAAGGGAGTGTTAGCAAGGCCACCTCGGTCTGCTCCCCACTCTCCGCTCCAGGCAGATAATGCGAGCACTGTCCCTATGGAGTCAGCAAGGCAGCTGATGGGTGGTGGGGATTAGGAGCCTGGATTCCAATCTCGGTTATACGGCCTTGGCCAAGTCTCTTCTCCCTGCCCCTCTGGCCCTGGCCTCAGTTTCCAGATTTGTACAAGTGTGTCTGTGAGGCAGGTAGAGGCTGGAGTGAGGAACTCTTAAAATGTCAGAAATGTTGGGATTTTGAAATACTGGCAGTGAAGAATATTAGAATCATAGCAATGAATAGAGGATTCATAATAAGAAAAGCCTGCCTTATATTTGGAACCCCCTTGAGCCATTTACAAAGAACGTGAAATAACAGCTGTCACTGATTAAGCACTATGTGCCAGGTACTGTTCTCGGTGCTTTCATCACAACACGACTTATTATTCCCATTTTACAGATGAGGAAACTGGGCCTGAAGAGGTCCAGTCACTTGCTCAGTTCCACTTGATTAATAAGCGTTGGAGCCAGCAGTCCTGGCTTCTAACCACTATACCAGTGGTTAGCTGCCACTATACCAGTGGGAGCTTTTAAAATCTCAATGCCCAGCTCACACCCCATACCAATTAAATCAGAATGCCTGGGGGCATGAGCCAAGCACTGGTAGACTTTAAAGATCCCAAGATATTTCCAATGTGCAGTAAAGTTTGGGAACCACTGCACATATGATACAACCTCTCCCTTGTCCCTGCTATAACCTTGTTAGATAGGTAGGGATCTTTACTCCAGCTTGTCCACATATGTGATAGAGCTTGGAATCCAGGGGCCTTCTGCCCCTGAGGGCGACTTATTTGAGAGCGGGTGCCTCTGCCCCTCCCCCACCTGCTCACACCTGTTGCTGCGTAGCAAGGGCTGACACACCTAGGCTGGAAGGCCCGGCCTTGTCCGCTCTTCTCCTGCTGCTCCCTCCCGTCTCCAAGCCCTGACACAACTAAGACAAAAAGGCCAGGTGCAAACTCCTTCTCCAGTCCCCCTTGATGCACCCACCTGTCTACACCTGTTGTGGATGATGCTGCCACTGCGGAGGCTACTTGATGCCGCAGCCACCGAACCCGCTGCGCCTGCGCTTTGTGTGCCCGAGACAGCCTGGGGCCTCAGCCGCCCTGGGGTCCCGCCCTCTGGACCCGCCCCACCCCTAAAGAGGGGGCGGGGCGTGGAGGGATGTGCTGACCAGGCATGCTGGGACTTGTAGTCTGCAGCCCTAGAGCCGCGCAATGCATGGCCTGTCCGGGCTGGCAGCCTTGTGGGAGGCTGCCCCTGCGATGTTGTTTGTGAAGCCATCTGTTCACTCATTAAAATTTATCATAAAATACTTTTTCTTAAGAACCTACCAACTCATTTTCTAGAAAAAAGTAAAGTTGCAAGGAGAAGCCAATCTCCTAGTTTTTTTTTTTTTTATAATTTATCTTTTTTGTTGTTGTTGAGAATATACACAGCAAAAACATACACCCGTTCAAGTTTCTACATATACAATTCAGTGACACCGATTACATTCTTCGAGTTGTACAACCATTCTCACCCTCCTTGTCTGAGTTGTCCCCTAAGGCTCCTATCTAATCTTTTGAGCTGCTGTTGTCAATTTGATCCCATACAGATAGTTCTTAAAAGAGCATAACGCTCAAGGTAGACATTCGTTACTTGTTAAGTTAAACAGTCTCCTAGTTTTGTATATTTTCTCAACACTCAGTCTGTGCCAGGCATTGCACTCGGTACTAGGGGAGGATACAGAGGAGCATTCAACATGACCCTTCTCCCTCCCACTCCCAGCTTCCAGTCTGGTGGTGGGTACTAGACGTAAAACACAATAGAGCACAGGGTGCGATTTAACAATGGGAAAGAAAAGACTGATTTTTTTGTTTTTGTTATCTAAGAGGTTCAGGGGAGCCCTGGTGGGAGTGGTGGTTAAGAGCTCAGCTGCTAACCAAAAGGTTGGCAGTTCAAATCCACCAACCTCTCCTTGGAAACCCTATGGGGTGGTTCTACTCTGTTCGTAGGGTTGGTATGAGTCGGAATGGACTCGACGGCACCTAACAACAACAACAAGAGGTTCAGGAAGGCTTCCTGGAGGAGACTGAAAAGGGTCTTGAAGGTGTTTCCCAGGGGGCACCTAAGGAACCCATATGAGCACAGGTCAGGAAGTTCAAAAGAGTGTTCAGTATTTCAGTGTGTTTGGAAGGTGGAGTGCAGGGGTGGGAAGGACATGGGGAGTAGCAGGTGATAAAGCTGCAGAGGTTGCAAGGATATAACATGAAGGCCATGGATGACATGCTCAAGAAGTTGGACATTATGACATAGTGACTAGAGCCTGGAGGGTGGGGTTTCAAGATGAGGAGTGAGATGGTCCGAGTTGTGGGCTGGAAAGGTCCCTCCAGGGCACAGTCAAAAATGGATGGGAAGGGCCACAAGTGGAGAAGGAAGACTATTTCTGTATAGCTACCACCTAGATCTGCCCCTCCAAGATCATTTCCCTGAATATCTCACCTCCATAGACTCCTACTTACAAGCAGACACAGGATGCCATTCAGAGAACAGGGGCTGGCAGGGCCTAAAAGGCTCCTGGTTCCATCCCCTGCTTTGGGAAGGGCGCCTGCCCGGCCCTAGGCCCCTTCCTCCTGTCCCAGACACATCTTCCTTACCGGAGCTGCAGGGCTCATGGTTCCTGGGCGGCCAGGGCAGCATTTCCGAGAAGGCTCCTGCAGGGGCTATTTCCCTGAGCGCCTTAGAGATAAGGGGATCAGGAAGGTGCCACCAAGTAGGAGCCGGAAGAGGGTGGAGAGAGGAGGGTGCACACAGCCTGGGGAAAGTCGTCCTCTTTTTCTAGTCCACCCCACCCCTACCCCCCACCAACTTTCCCAACTGATCCCAGGCTCTCACCCTTAGTCACAGAGCAACAATAAGTCATCACTGATTCGAAAGTGGTATCTCAACTCCAAGATTAGGGGAGGAGGTAGAAGGGCGGGCTAGTCCTCCTCCCTCGGTCGGGGGCGGGGCTGAGACTCTGTGGCTGGGCAGAGCACTGTCGATCACCTCAGTCCCGGCTGCGCGGCTTGACTCCCTAAGCCTCCCTTTCCTGCTCCTGGGTCCCTGTAATCCTGACCTCGGGCCACCCTGACGCTTCGGCCCTGCGTGCAGTGCGTGACTTGCTAGCGGATTCGCCATGGCCAATCCTATTAGCCGCTGAGCTCATCCCTTCCCTGCAGCCCCAGGAACCAGCTCTCCAAACAACGCAGTTTTCCCTTCTGCATTCTTCTCCACTCTCTTATCTGGTCCCTGGAACGTCAAACCCCTAAATTCTCCATCCCCACAGCGGAAGGAGGGAAGGGGGTGGGGGGAGAAGAAAGGAGTTCTTTAGCTCCAGGAGTTCCTGGTGGAATAAAACAAAACAAAACTCAACACGGCTTAAGCCAAAGAAGGGAATTTATGGGCCTTTGCCCCAGGAAGTCCAGGAGTGGAGCGGCCCCCTCTTTTCCTCTACCCAGCGCTCCCTGCTCCCATCCGTGATAGGTTGTTGGGCTTTGTTCACAGACGGGGTGAAGTGAGGTGGAGGGAACAGTGCAGACAGTTCCTAAATTACATTCTTCCGATTTAGCATCCAGAATTCTGGAGAAAGACCTCTCCCATCCCCACCCTCTTCAAAGACAAGAAAAAAGGGAAAGGATGCTGGGCAAACTAAAGCCACAGATGCCTCTACCCGTTGGCGTCGACTGTTTCCAGCTTATAGCAACCCTATAGAACAGAGTAGAACTGCCCCATAGGGTTTCCAAGGCTGTAAATTTTCAAAGAGGTAGACTGCCACATTTTTGTCCCGCGGAATGGCTGGTGGTTTCAAGCCGCTGACCTTTCAGTTAACAGCTGAGCGCTTAACCACTGCGCCACCACGACTCTTATAGATGCCTCTAAAACCCCCGCCAAAAAGAAAAACCCCTGCGATCGAGTAGATTCCGACTCATAGCGACCCCATAAGGTTTCCAAGGCTGTAAATCTCTACGGAAGCAGACTGCCACATCTTCCCACAGACTCTAAATGCAGCCGGACATGGTGTATGTCTCTAAAATGTTGGTCAGTGGCTCTCTTTGAGAAGCTGATGAAAGTTATAGACGCTTCAGGGAAAAATGCACACACAAAGCCATAACATTTTGTATATAATTCCTGGAAGTTCATGGAAGCCATGATGATCACTGTTGAGATTGTTTTTAATCTCCAGAGCTGTGTAGACTTATGGAAAGAGCGTGGTTTGAGGAGTGAGAGGCCCTGAGAGCATAGCAGGGAACCTAGCTCCAGCAGTGCTGGCTGTGAGAGACTTTGTTTAATCAGTTAACATTTATTGAGACCAATAAGCCAATGAGTAACTTTCACATTTCTGTTGTAACTGTGGTACATAGAACCATTGGCAGAGAGAAAAGTATTTTGCTATGAATAGCTCACAGCTGTTTAGAGAATAGTGGACTGGCTCATCAAATTAACATTTACTATCTACAGTTTCTAGATAGTATAATATAATGAAAATAATTTAAATTATATCTATTTACTTAAAAAAATCCTGAAATTTATATCAAGATGCAATTTGAGCAAAAGTAAAACCACTCATGTAAAAAGTTTTTTTAAATAATAGCTTTATTGAGATACAATTCACATAGTATAAAATTCACCTTTTTAAAGTGTACAGTTCAGTGCTTTTTAGCATATTCAGAGTTGTGCAACCATCAGCACAATCAATTTCAGAACATTTTCATCACCCCTACAAAGCCCAGACCCTTTAGCAGTCACCCTCCTTTTCCGCCTCAACCCCATCCCCACCCCAGCCCCTGGCAACCACTAATCCACTTTCTGTCTCTACGGATTTGTCTACTGTGAACTGTTCATATAAATGGAATCATGTAATATGTCTTCTTTTGTGACTGGCTTCTTTCACTTAGCATAACATTTTCAAGATTTATCCATGTTGTAACATGTATCAATGCTTCATTTCTTTTTTTTTTTTATGAATAATATTCCACTGTATTGATAGACCACGTTTTATTTATCCATTCATCAGTTGATAGCCATTTAGGTTGTTTCTACTTTTTGACTATTAGGAATAAATACTGCTATGAACATTCATTTACAAGTTTTTATGTGGACATATATTTTCATTTTTTTTGGGTATATACCTATGAGTGTAACTGCTGGTATTGTAGGGTAAAAACATCACAAAGTTTAGTAAAACAAAAAGAAAGTTTTATTCAGCATATATTCAAAAAGGCAAAAGTGGCAAGTGGTCAAGCATGCTGCCAGAGCTAATGTCTGCCCTAATCCAAGGAATATTACAGAATAGGCAAAAGTGGGAAAACGAACACGCATGCTGCTGCCACAGCCATGTCTGCCGCAGTCGGAGGAATGCTACAGATTCATCAGTAATATATTAACATTACAAATGGGCAAAACCATCGAAAGCTTCACCTTTTCCCAAAGAAGACATTCAGGCAGCGAACAGATACATAAAGAAAAGCTCACGATCATTAGCCATTAGAGAAATGCAAATCAAAACTACAATGAGATACCATCTCACCCCAGTAAGGCTAGCATTAATCCAAAAAACACGAAATAATAAATGTTGGAGAGGTTGTGGAGAGACTGGAACACTTATACACTGTTGGTGGGAATGCAAAATGGTACAACCTCTTTGGAAATCGATTTGGCGCTTCCTTAAAACGCTAGAAATAGTGTACCATACGATCCAGCAATCCCACTCCTTGGAATATATCCTAGAGAAATAAGAGCCGTCACACGAATAGATATATGCACACCCATGTTCACTGCAGCACTGCTCACGATAGCAAAAAGATGGAAACAACCTACCTGCCCATCAATGGACGAATGGATAAACAAATTATGGTATATTCACACAATGGAATACTATGCAACAATAAAGAACAACGATGAAGCCATGAAACACCTTATAACATGAAAGAATCTGGAAGGCATTGTGCTGAGTGAATTTAGTCAGTCACAGAAGGACAAATATTGTATAAAACCACGATTATAAGAACTCAAGAAAAGGTTTAAACACAGAAGAAAA